TGATATAGAATCATTAATTACGTATACAAACCTTATAAAAAACGTATCATTTCCTTATTTCGATTTCTTATAGGGTTATTATTGACGTATTATAATTATCATTTGTTTTGTTAAAAAATAATGACAAAAAAGTGATGTGCATTCTTTTTGATTCAATTTATTGTATTACTTTTTAGGAATTTTTGATGAATGTTAGCATAATAATATGTTTCTTTAATCTAGTTTTATCACTAAAACAATGTAGAATTATTAATTTTTAACAATTTTGATAATAAATTTGCTTATTATCACCAAATAAATCATAGGATTTGTCCTCTAAAATCTTTTTTAATAAAACTTTTTCTAATAGGCCTTTAAGATTTTGAAGAATTTCTACTATCTTTTGTTTTGTATTTTTATCTCGAGTTCTTTGACAGGTAAATTTTCACTTTAAATTACTGAAATTTTCAATAATATAAAATACTTAATTAAAAAACAAATTTTACATATTTAAATTAATACATTAGAATAACATTTTCACCAGTATTAGATGCATTACTTTTTACTTTTCCTTGAATAAAGTTAGTTTTTTTTATTATAAATTTATTTAGATAAACTTTGAATTACTACTGTTGTCAGTATTTATTCTTTATGATTAAATTTTTTAACAAAAAAAAATATGAGATAAGATAACGATAAATGATAAAAAATAAATAAACATTTCTGATATGGAATTTTATATATTGAATCCTTTAATTCTGAAGTAAATTTATATGCAGAGATAAAAATTTATTATAAGTTTGTATGCAGAGGCAATTTTTATTATAAATCTATACAATGAGGTAAATCATTATTATTTGAAATCTATATTTCAAACTTTAGCTAACTTTTCATATTTATACATTAAGAATTGCAGAACCTTAACCTTAAAATATCAAATTCATATAATAAGAGTTCCATCTATACATAAAGTCGAAATGGATCATTTTGGATATCTGAAATGGTCGAAATAGTCGAAATTATTTCGACCATTGGAGGCTAAAGTCACGAAATAGTCAAAATGACATCATATCACATGATTTTATATAGAAAAAACAAAAAAAAACAAAAGATGTACGATCTCGGTCAATATCATACCGATTCGTATTAAACAACTACTATTCGATTTCTCTAAACTAGGCGGATTCAATGAGCTAACATTCATTGATTTTAGATCATCCAATCACGGGATACTTGCAATTGTATTATCGGCTGAAATTATAAATCCATAAATTCTACTTTAAATAAAGGAGTCTGGATTTCGAAATACGATCGCAAATATCTCGAGATGGGATGATGCAAAATCAATGAATGTTAGCTCATTGAATTCGTCTAGTCGCGAGGAATCGAATGATAGTTATTTCATACAAATTGGTGCGATATTGACTGAGTTCATACATCTTTTTTTTTTCTATATATAAAAAATCATGTGATATGACGTAATTTTGACCATTTCGACTTTTCATTTTGACTTTGACTTCCAAAATTGAAACATTTTGACTTTTTTGGTTTTCATTTCGACTTCATGTATAGTAGTGATAAAACCAAACCAAGTAATTGGATCTTGGTTATAGTTCACTAGACCATTGGTAAAAATAGTGATGATGTTTACTATGACTGGGATAATCTCTCTATCCAAATTTGACAGTACTTTTGATGCTAAGTACCTAATACGAATCTAACACGTGGTTTGAGTTATCTAATTAGGATGTTATGCTTAGATGGGAACATTGAAGAGAGTGTGCACAACATAGTGGATAATTTGAAAAATAGGAAAATACCTGAGATTGATTAGGTCCTGCACTTTACCATTAAAATGGTGTCTAGTATCAACTTTGTTGACTAGGTTTAAATGCAATAGGGTCCTCAGTCAGCGTTGTTGCATCTTATAAAAAAAAATAAAAAAAAAATAAAAAAAAAATTTCATTAAACATAAAAAAGTGTTTTGTTAAAATATTATAACATTATAAATAATTGCATAATCATCAATACTAATTCTTCATGTTACATTCCTTCTAGATTAATTACTTCTCTAGATCGCCTTCTCTTTAATAATCCCAACTTGTCCTATTTATACATTTTGAATTGATCTAAAATTACAGATATATTAGATAATTATTATATAATGATTGCCTTTAACTATCTAATCATTGTACAATTATTACTACATATTTCATTGTATAGTTACTACATCATAGCTATATAAGAATAACCAATTTCCTAACTATGATTTAATATCTTTTCATAATTTCTACATTTACTCCTAATTTTTAGATGTGACATATTGTATCACGTAACACCAATTTCATTGATCAACATTGATTACATTTCTATTATGAGATCATTTCTGCAATTATGATGAATATCAATCATGCTTTTTGTATCATATTTCTGATCATATTATTTGCTGTGCCTCATTTTACTTGGGTAACAATGTAAATTGGTTAGGATAGATATAACCAAAGTTTTTTGATTAAGAGTATTCTAATTAAAATATGTGATAATAATGAATATTCAAATAGTTTTAAGAAAAAAATAAATTCTAAAAGAGTAATCTAATAAAAATAAATTTTTATCATATCTTTTATTCCCTGCTTAGAATCATGCTGATAATTAAAATTATAAATAATATTTTAAAATTTTTCAGAAAAAGAAATATATTTGCTAAAAGGTAAACTTTATCAAATTATTTATTGATACAATATATTCTATTTATAAAAAGAAAAAAAATATATTTAACTAATAAAAAAGATTTTTTTCTTTTTACTAACAAGCTTTATTTCTGTTTAATACAATAAGTTGATTGAAAAATATATTTGACCAATAAAATAGATTTTCTTCCTTTTTACTAATAAGCTTTATTTCTATTTAATATAGCATATCATTTTAAAATAAAAATGATGTAATATAAAAGTTATTTTTGATAAGTAATCAATAAATTAATAATTGAGACATAAATAATTTCAAAATTACAAAATCATGAATTCTTATATTTTAAGTTAGATTCAAATTCTAGATTTTCTCTTTTTCTATTAATAAACCTTATGTGTTTAAACTAACTGTAATATATATTATAATATTAAAAGTTATAAAATATTAATATTAATTACAATTCTTATTTTTAAATATTACTTTCTTTTTTAATAAATTCTTAATAAATGAACTTCTGTCAAATTTAAGTATTAGATTATAGACTATAATCTATATACATAATTATTTTTTATTTATTATTAAGGTTGCTAAAAAAACTTAAAAATTTTTTTCATTTACTAAAATGCTAAAATACTAAAACTTTGATGAAACTATATTAAAATTTTATAATTACTTATGTTGAAACTATGGCAAAAAGCTAAAATAATAAAACTATTATAGTAAAAGTTAAAGTTAGAAATCTATAATTAAACTATATTAAACTTTTATTAAAATTTTGCTAAAACTAATTGCAAAATTTTAAAGAGATTTAAGTAAGTATTTTTACTTATTATTATATAAACTATAATAAATTTTTTTTTTGATCTTTTTATTAACTTTATTTTATTAGATATATAAAATCATATTATATGACTCTATAACATATTTTACCTAAGAGGAGGTAGATACTTAAATTAACATAATATTAGTTAATATCTTTTATGAACTTAATCATAATTAAGTAATATATAATTTATAAATAAAAAAAGATTAAATAATATATTATTAATAATTAAATATAAATTTAAAATATCTTAATTTGATATATATAGCTTAAAACTATTTTTTATTTATTTATAATAAATTATTATCATTTACATATTTGTGTTCAATATGCAATATATGTAATATGTGACATTGAAAGTCAGCTGATCATCATAATTTTATACAGCAAAATAATGTTACACCAGTACAAAACATACCGATTTGCTAAGCCACCGTCACCGTGCGAGATGTTCTTCCATAAACGTTAGAGAATTAAAGATTAAATTTTGGAATAAAAAATTCATTTAAAAAAAATTTGTTTTTTTGTACTGCTTTGTTTCTCGCCACATTGTGTGCGTTTATGAACACGAATTTCAATTTAACTTATATTATCACATTTACAAAATAAACTAATGACTTATCAGACAGAAAAAAGTACAGCCGAAGAAGACTCGGACATAATCGAATTTTTAAATCGTAAATTAGCGAATTTAACAGTAAATTCTGACGCTACAGAAGTTCTTGGAAACAACGACGGGTTACCAGTTTGTGAAGTTTCAACCTTGGTATGTGTTCTTATTGATAATTTCTTTTTATATTAGTACAAGTAAATTTGGTTTGACATTTTACTCTGTTTGTTTATCAGTTACCACAATACTCACAGGTTATTATATCTGCTCTTCATTCAAAAAATACTGGGTTACGGCTTGCCGCAGTTATTAGACTTCGTAAATATTTATCGTTACGTGAGTATAAAGTTCTTTTTCCCGAGAAAAAATTTTTTTTTTATCAATTATTGATTTCTTTTTTACTTATCTTGTTATAGAGAATGTTGACGAAAGGGTTGATAATGTCCTTGCATTGAACATAATACCATTATTGATAAATTTTCTTGAAAATTTTGGGGATCCTTTATTACAGGTATCATTTTACACACAGTAAATGGTTTTTTTTTTTTTAATTATAATTTATAAATTATTTATTTCTTTATCAGTATGAAACGGCTTGGATAATTACCAATATAGCTGTAAGGAATCCTTTATTTATTAAAGTTATACCTTTAAATATTACCTTTATATAATTAAAAATGAATTCGCACGATCCTTATCTTTATAGGCTGGTTCTACAAAGCATACTGAAGCTCTTGTTGCTGGTGGTGTAACAGAACATCTTATAAAAGTTTTATCAACTTCAAACAATGTCGAAGTTCAAACTCAGGTAAACAATTTTTATAAATATATAGAGTATTCTTGTAAGTAATCTAATGAATGTTATTTTATTTCAAGATCATATGGGCATTAGGCAACATCGCAGGAGATGGCGCTGTATTTAGAGATATTATATTATCTGCCGGCGTATTAGACCCTTTACTTTATATTTTATCAAACTACAAAACATATGATTACATGGCCGTAAGAATCACAGTTTGGGCTACTGCAAATATGTGTCGTGGTTGCCGTTGTTCGGATCCATCATGGTCATTGGTAAATTCTTTTATTTCTTTTAGAGTTGTTAAAATTAACAAATTATGAATATTATTTGATCGATATTATATTAAGTAGATTACTCCAGCTTTCCCAATTTTAGCTAATATGGTACAGCTCAATGATGCAGAAATTATTTCTGATGCTTGGTAAGTTAAAATCAAACGTAGTATTCTTTTTCGATTGAGTTTTATTACCACAAGGTGTATTCGTCTTATTTGAACCAATAATTTAAAAGTTGGGGGATGTCCAGAATATTGAACGGTACTCATAAGCATCGAGAACATGCTTTAGTAAGCGATAGTTCATTATGTCGTCGCTTGGTAGATCTTCTCAGGTAATAGATATTACACAATATCCTACTTTTTTTTTTTAAAAAAAAAAGGGTAATAATAAAAATAACATTTTAATATTTGCAGTGAGGAGAGCCTTACCTCCGCCGTTCATTTGCCAGTGCTACGAACATTGGTAAACATCGCATCGGGAGCAGGTAGGTTAATTTTTTAATTTAAATTTTTTTTATTAAAAATAACGATAAGATTTTTTTTTGTTATTAAAATATTCCATTATTTGTTATAGAAAAACAAACGCAGGCAGTAATAGATTCTGGAGCATTAACTGTGTTGACTACTTCATATTTATCGACTAAAAATTTGACGTTGAGGAGAGATGCATGTCTAGCTGTATCCAACGTAGCTGCTGGCACATATTGTCAGGTATTTGCAATTTATTCTTTATTTTTATGAGACGACAATTCTTTTTTAAGAAGATTCTCTAGCGTAATTATTTCTTTTAATATGTAAACCATTTATTTATTAGGTAAACGCTGTACTAAATGAAAAAAATTTGATGGAAAATGTTGTCGCTTTGCTTTGGGACGACGATGTGAAGGTTGTAAAGGAAGCTTGTTGGGTTTTAAGCAACTCCACAAGTTTGCACGATTCTGGCCATATCAAGTAATGTATAGTTTTACATTTCTTTACAAATGTCAATTTTAAGATTTTATGATAACTTTTATTTTTATTATTATTATTATTATTACTTAACATATAAATTCTTATAGCTTAATTCTACATTATGATATTCTTACACCTCTTCTGCATCATTTACGCAATTCATCAACCCCTCAAGAAATAATGAACAAGCTTATTGACACTTTAATTAATATTCTTTCGGTTGGAGATATTTCTAGTTCTTCACCACCACCGTCATCACAGAATGCATATGCGGATCAATTAGCTGCATCAGGATTAGTTGATGCATTGCTTACCGCCTACAATCACCAAGGATTATTGGAAACAATAAGGGAGAAAATTAGAGGATTATTGGAAAGATGGTTCTATGGATATTTACACAGGGAACAAGGCAATGGTGAGGATGATGGATTAGATATAGCATCTATTGAAGAACGTGTTGGTAGATTGAGAATCAATATGGAAGGTGTTGATGTCTTTTAAATATGATAAACGTAAGTTCGGTGGACGAAATTTATAATATTTTTTTGGTTTTTTTTTTTTTTTTTTTTTTTTTCTTTTTATATGTATAAAATATCGTTTTGTACAATTTAAAAAGACATTTTAGTGCGATTACTATATTAATTGCTAAAAAATCCTATATCACTAAAAAATACAGTTAACATGATATAAAACGCTACTTAATTTTATGTATATTAGTTGATTTGATTAGTTATTTAAGCACTTGTAATGTTGTTGAATGAATTTATTTAAATATATAATAAAAATGTTAGTTGAATGTAAATTAGATATATGATCCACTGATTTATTTAAAAAAAAAGTGTTAAACGATGAAAAAATAAATAAAAACATTATTAATATCAAGACTTACAAGTATATCGGGTATATGGAACAAAAAACTTGATGATTAGTCTACAATAACAACATATCAACGCAACTCATTCCTTATCTATAAATAATTTTTTTTTTAAAGATTGGAATAAAAAAATTTTTTTTATGTATAGTAACAATTAAAAATGTACTAAAACATTCCGTTTCTTTTTCCCAGCAAGTTTCTTTTTCCCAGCAAGCTTTTTCCTTTTCCATTGTTGATGTCTACTATTCCTTGGTCCACTTGTAGAAATCTTTGGAGCATCAGTATCTATTACCATATCTTTTTTTTAATAAGAAAAAAAAAAATACAAACATATATACATATACAGTACATATGTATATATATATATACAATATATTAATTTTTGTTTCTCCTTTAAAAATTATTGCCTAATACCCCAGACAATACACTCATTAACCCTTCAAAGTTCGTTGAATCAATAATATCAGGATCGATCAATCCTAATATTCCATAACATAACGAACCTGAAGTTATATCTGTTGTAGAGTATAAATTTGCGTTCTGCGTTGGTGATTGTTCTTGTGATCCCTCCTTTTCTATTAACGTGGATTTCATTTGTTGTAGTCCAACTGCCTCTACTTGATTTCCAGCAAGTCTTTGTACTCGAGCAGCTTCAACTGGTTCAAAGACAGACTGTCGTTTAATTGCACGGAAACGTCTCTTGACTTTACTACGCATGCTCTTTGCCATTTTTGATCAGTAGAATTTTTTTTACTAAATAGCTTTAATAAAGTTTAGTATGTTTTATAAAAGGTGTTCCTTACAGCCTATGAGAAAATAACTTTTTTTGAAAGAAAAAAATTTGCTACCCACTATTAAAAATTGAGTAATTTTATTTTATTAATTTTTTTTAAAACGGGCGGAGCATTTATGGATCAGATCCTTAAAAATCAAATCATATGACAACCGTAATTTGGTGATCGATTAGTTTTTGTACTATAATAATGCATTAAAATGCAACATTCTTTTTCCTAATTTAAAATAGAGTATAAAAAAAGTGAAGTTTATACATCGGGCGATTCTGATTTTTGTAAAGTTCGGAATGGTAATGCATAAAACTTCTTTAGGATTTGGGAATCCGGTTGTTCAATATAATTTGACTTTCGTGATTTAATAAAGCGAGCGTAAGTTTCAGGGAACGCAACTCTACACCTTCAAAATAATCCAATCACTTATTAGGATTATAATAAATTTTTTTTTTTTAAAAAAAAAAAAAAGTGCAGTTTCTTGTGAAGGTTAATTTACCGATCTCTTAGGTCTTGTCCAGTCCGATGTATTAAATTCAGTTGCTGATCACTCGCAATTCTTGACCATGAATTACCATACTAATATCATTTTTTTTTTAAAAAGGAAAAAAAAAAGTTTAACTTGTCAAAAAACAAAAAAAAAAAAAATACATTTCTCTAAATGAGGTTATATGATATCAACCTTTTCAACACCTAATTTCAAAGCATTATCTTCTTCGGGAGTGAATTTATTTTTGGAGCGATGAGGTTTTCTTACGAATGTCAACAGATCTGATAACGAATCATCGTCATCGTCATTTGCTTTGATTTTCTTTCTTTTCGCTTTCTTTCCGTATAATTTTTCATATTCGTTTGGATATATCGTTCGAAATCTAGAAATTTGAAATATGAGAAAATTTTCTTATTCAACAACATATCAAGATTTCAAAAGAAATATCAAATTGAAATAAATTTGTTTATTATAAAATTATAAAACCTACCTATCTTTAAGATCAACGGCTGTTCGATCACTGGGGAAAGGGTATTTTGGATCGGTTAAAATTTTCTTCCAATTACCAACTCCGTGCTAAAATTCGATCGATATGAATGAAACATGATAAATAAATCGAACAAATTTTTTTTTTTTTTTAAAAAAAAGATTCACAACCTTATAAAGTCCTTCAACAAGTAGGGACGTTTCGGCATCACCCCATTTTTGACGAGATTTACGCCTGTCTTGTTTTTTCTTATTCTGGTTTTCTGGCGAAGAAGTTTCGTTATCCTGATTAATTTCCGTCATTTTTTTTTTTCGTTTCGTTTCGTTTCGTTTATTTTATTTTTATTTTATTTTATTTTTTTTTTTTTTTGACCGAAGGGAAAAGTGTTGAAACTAATAGAAATTTCAATTTACAAATTAAAGAAATATTGTCACATTAGCACAGAAAAACGCTTTGTTAACCAAAGCTTTCTACAAAACTTTTTTTAAAAGTTCATTGAAATAAAATTTTTTTTTTTTTAAAAAAAAAATTGGGAAAAAGAAAAAAAGGTTTTCTAGCGCTTTTCCAATTTAGGATTACAGTTTATCGATGAGACTGATTGGATCAAAAAAAAATTTTTTTTTCCAGATATAGGAAACGTTAATTTCACGAACTTTTTTTATTTTATTTTATATTTTTTATTACAAAAAAAAAAAAATGTCTGAAAATGGAAAGATTATATTCGTAACGGTTGGTTCAACCGGGTTTGATCAAATAGTTAATCTTATCTCATCAATACCATGTCTCAAATTATTAAAATCTCAAGGATTCGCCAAATTAATCGTTCAATATGGAAAAAGTCAAAATGCGTTTAATGATGCGATTCAAACGCGTAATAATCAGATAAACGAAATTGAAATCATTGGGTATGATTATAAACCATCATTAAGTGAGGATATGAAAAATGCGGATCTGATTATTAGTCATGCTGGTATTGTATACCTACCCTAGAATTGTCATGAATCATCACATATTTTTTCATTAATAACCTTATCGTATAATAAACAAAACAATAAAGGATCGGGTTCTATCCTAGAATCACTTCGTTTTCATAAACCTTTAATTGTAGTAGTGAATGAGAATTTAATGGATAATCATCAAATGGAACTTGCTATTGAATTACAAAATAAAGGTTATCTTGTGTATAGTTCGATCAGGTACCTCAAAAAAAATTTTTTTGCCTTAACGAGCTTAAGAGAATTATTCTGATTTATGTTGTAAAATTTCAAGTGATCTTTTGGAGGTTTTGAATTCGTGTACTTACGAAAACTTGATCCCTTTTCCGGTACTGGACAAATCACTTTTTGCAAATGTTTTAAGTGAACTTTGATAAGGATAAAATTTTGGAAACCCTTTCTTCTTTTTCTTTAATTTGCGCAAATTAACGTTATTATAACATTATTTTAAAAATTTATTAGGTGTTTTAAAACTATAATTACTCTACTAGTAAAGTACTTTTGGTTGATGCATTACATATATAAGAAGTGCAGAATTCTGTCATGCTAAGAAAAGAAAAAAAAAAGGATCATCGAAGATCTTTGTAAAAAATACGAAAGTAACGTAAAAAAAAAAAAATTATGTGATGCGATATTATTAAAAGTCTATCTATTTTGTAATGAAAATGTTCAACATTTAAATTACTCAACGTATTAAACGTATTCTATATTAAACTGGAATATAATGCGTATGTGTATTCTATATATATTAAAAAAAATTTTTTTTGACCTTTGTATAAAAAGTTCTTGTGTATAAATTAGAGAAGTTATATTAAAATATTTCCTAGCCCATTTGTCAACAGAAAACTAAATTTCTGCTGACTTCATAATTATCATAATTTGCGCTTATAAAGGAGACCCGGTCCACTCATATTACTAATTAAATTTTTCTATCTTATAATTCTTTAACATATATTTTAAGTTTATATATATATATATATAATGTAAATAATTTTTTTTTCTTGATTTTTTTTTTTTTTTTGTTATTATTAATAATTTTTTTTTCTTAATTTGTCTATAATATTTTTTTTTTTGTTTTATTTAATTTTTTTTTTTCGCCTAAAAAAAAATGAAAATGAAAATTATAAATATGAAGACTTTGACAATCATCGAATTTTCAAATATATTATAAATTTAAGAACTTACCCGACCGGCGGGACTTAAATTCGATTATACCGCACCAGCTTTATGGCAAAGCCCACAAATCATTAGGATGGCAATGTTTAACGTGATATATGAGGCCACCTTTGCTGCCGTAAGTTTTTAGGCAACCTCCGATGCGGCACGCCCAAGGCTTTTCACGAGCTCCGTTACCGCTCTATAAATTTAATTGCATCCATTAGTAAATAAAAAAAAAAAAAAAATAGCAGTATATCTAGAATCATAAATCAATTTAATCTTACTTGCTGTGCATGACCATGTTCGTTGTGATATTTTAATCCATTTGCATTTTTATATGCTTTCGGGCATCCGTGAACGGCGCATTTGTAAGGATATATATCGGCTTCACCTCTATTTTGCACGACATCAGAGGACAAATCGGAAGGATGAATAGCAGCGGAAGCATCAGCGACAGATTCATCAGAAGGCTATAGATATAAAATAATTATAATTAGTAAAGCATTATATGATATTAATCGATACGTACATATTTGAAATGATTGCCATACTTTGTTAGAACGTCTTTTTACTGATTTATTATCAACCGATGGTGTGGAGGTGGTCCTTTTCTTTGATTTGATACCAGACGCACCAATTGATGGGTCGGAATAGACATCTGACATTGCAACTCCTAATGAAAACAATAATCAGGTATAAGTAAAGGCCAATTATAATAAAAAATATCGATCTGTTAACATTTTTATGAGAAAAAAGATCTATCATACCGTTACCAGCCTTCGGTTGGATTCGCTGATATTTTGCCGGGTATTGCGTGGCTGCTCCGGAGCCAGTCTCTCCAGAAGACATATACATCGGGTAACTGTCAGCTGAGTTCACAGAGTATTGTGCAGTAGTAACTGAGGGCATATATGACGCCAACGCATTATTTTCGATCGAGATGTGACCATAACTTTGTGGTGTAGTTGTCGCAATGGAACGCGCCGCCACTAAATTAGAAGTTGATGAGCGTCTGAGTTGAGCAACGGGCCTACTTGAAGATGTGACGTTTCCTTGTCCTAAATTTGACATATTAATCCTATACTGATGTTCATTCGGGGGCATTGTAGTTACAACCGGATGTGCTGAGATAATATTTGAAGTTGACGATCGCCTAGGTTGCAAAAAGTTGCTACTATATCCATAAGACATTGGATTATTGGATGAATTTGAGGCCCTTTGATTAGATTTACTAGGATCAGAGTTCGATGATACTTGTTCAGAATTATATGGTATAGAAGACGTGCGCCTTTGTTGAACATTGTTTGTCGCAATAGGCCTTTGTCTTGAATTATTCATGATCCCATAAGATGTATTTTGGGTTGTTGAGGACAAACGTCTTTGTTGAGCATTAATAGTAGCATTAGCACCATTACTTGGTGATGGGACGAGTCTCTGTCTTGAGATGTATGAAACCTGTTGGCTAGGTGTTGATGCATTAATGGATGGGGATGTCTGCTGAGCGTTAACACTATTCTCATTGTTATTATTAATTGAACCATAAGGTGAAGACGATGATGGTCTTTGAGGGCTCTTATCCTGAGGGTTGTTGACTTTAGATTTTGAAGGTGAAACGGCCGCCACTTGTCCTAAGTTTGAGATGGACATGACACGATCGTTTGAAATGGGAGAGACAACGGCCGAATTATCAAAGTCATCTGAACTGATAGGAGAAGAGACATAATCGACCGGGGTCGCCGGAAAAGATTGTGGTGAGTTATTAACTAATAAAGGATCTTGTTGGTTCATTTGAATAGCTTTTGAGGGGTAAGAATCATCATCAAGACTTGTTGACATGGACGATGTCGTTTGATCCTCGAACGAGAAATTCGTATTACGCAATGTGGAATTATCATACAAATATAATGCTGCTGCCAACATAAATTCGTTCTGTTCACATGAATCCTGACTTTGACCATTTGTGAGTTGTTCAAGACCGTTAATCTGACCAAATCCATTAATGTGTGCGAGATCAATTTGGCTGTACTCAAATCCATTATTATTTAAGTTACCCTTCTGTTTATAACTTGGAGCAGATGAGTTATTAACTGAGTAGATAGTAGAAGGTGCGACAGAGTTGAAATTGCTTTGTGTACTGTTCTGATGATTTTTTTGTTCATGAGCGGATCCATTCTGTACCGAAGTATTCAAAGAAGGTTGAATGGATGAAACAGACATCGGGATTGGCATTGAATTACATCGGTCTGTTAAATTAAAAAGGAAAATTAACAAATGGGACAGGTAATGGAGTCGGAAGGAATTCAGCATAAAAATCATGTGACCTACACTGTGAATAAACAGTATTTGCTTCGAGAGGAAATTGAATGATTTCATTATCGTGTACGATCAATCCACGATGAATAATGTCAACATGTTGAATAAGGTCGTGTAAATTTTGATGATCGATTCCACAGCAATTATATTCGCGATAACTTGTCTGTAAATTTGGATCAGAAGTAAGGGAGGGAGGGTACATTCCCACATTAAATACTGGGTAGGGCTGATCAAAGCCGAGGTTCATATTTTCTACGTCTTGTGAAAGGTTATTGCTATAGGCGTCATCACTAGTAAGAAAAGAGACGAGGGTCAGTTAATGTAAAATTTAATAGGTTTTGTGCGCTAATATTTAACTTTCCACATTAAAATTACATGATAATTTATTGAAAACATCACGTAAGTATGATTTCGTGTTACGAATGTAACATACTAACGGAAAATGTTGTGAATTGCGTTTAAGATGTAGTAATGTGTTGTGAGGGGGGGTTATTTTTAAAGATATATGAAAGTAAAGTGAGATTATAACCCGAGGGGGGGGGGGGGACAAGTAATAGAGATCAAGAAAAAGAAAACGAATGCGAAACCAAATAATGAATGACGTATAATAAGAATTGAGTGCAACATGATTTCTTTTATGAACGGTTTCAAGAAACATTAACACAGATCCGATGGAACACTTACTTTAATGGGACTGACCTCGCGGTCGCAGCAGAAGTACTATAAGAAGGACCAGAAGTGCGTCCGTAGCCGCTAGTCGAGCCAGGGATAGAAATCGGTGACGAGCCGGATACGACAGTAATCGAATTTGCGCACTCGGTTGCGTGAGGCATGGTTTAACGAAAAAGGTTATTATAATTATCTCGATCGATAATACCAAAGATCAAAGAGCCTTGGTTAGGTAAATATTATGAATTAATAGTCGATGGGTTTTCCGAACAATAGTTTGAAAATTCTCAGCGAAAAACTTGTTAAAGATTTTAACGACGAACTCTTAATTTATCGTATGTAGTGCCCTTTTTTATAATAATAATCGATGAAATAAAAAGGCTAATTGATAAATTTTACCGAATTAAATAGGAAAAAATCGTAATGCTAGTAAAAGCTTGAGATGAGAAAGGATTGTAATTATAAATCAGATGATAAAATTTTGATCGTGAGAAAAGTTCGTAAGGTTAGTAACTTGAGAATTTTTTTTTTTGTTTTTTTTTTTTTTTGGAAAGTCTATAGTAGGTATTAGGGTTTTTTTTAAAGTATATATAAAATTTTTTTAAAAAAAAAAAAAAAAAAAAAATTATTTATTTATTTTATTTTTATTTTATTTTTTTTTTTAAATTAAAAAAGTGGCGAAACAAAAGTTTACAACGTTACAACGTTAAGGACAAAGAGGTCATAGGAAAGGGGTGTAGGTAGGGTATATAAGGCCCCGAAAATTTTAAAATAAATATATTGAAGTCGTTACGAAGTCGTTAAAAAAGGTAGCAAAGAAAGTTGTTTGATAAATTTCCAAGTGTCATATAAATATATGAATGCAAGAAAAAAAAAACAAAAAAAAAATAAATAAATATTTTGAAATAATTTTTTTTTTGGTTAATTATACAGCATTTTACAGTATTCTAATATATTGTTTAAAATAAAGAAGATAATATTTTATTTTAATTTTTTTTTTTTTTTTTTTTGGCTGAAATTCACAAAAAAAAATAATACATAAAACGTATTTAGCAAAAAACAGCACTCAGGGCATAAAGTAGTTTTTTTTGACATGTTTATTATTATTGTAGATTTATTATAAAAATTTATTTTATACAGGTATTTTTTGATTTTCAAAATTTTACAATCCGATTAGATTCTTTTCAGACTTACAGTAATTTATTAATTTATCAATGATTGTAATGGGCTTAAAATAAGCTACAATGATAAATAGGCAAAATCACTAATTAAGTTTGGAATCCTAAAATCATCCTTTTATGGGTGCTTATTTTCGCAATGATAGGATATTTTATTTATATGCAACTAACCAAATAATTTGTTGGGTTACAAATCGGTATTTATTAATTGGAAATGACACGTCATCAACGAATTCGGTCGTTGCGAGGGGAGCAAAAAAAAAAGTGCTGTACCAATCACATACTTTAAATATGTCTTGTCATTTTTTGTAACGTGGGCATGAACAAGCAAATTTACAACAGATTTAGAATCTCGTCGTTAGGTGTTCTAATAATAGTCCGACCACAAATCTACAAAATCTCAGAATTTCATTACTATAAATTTCACGGGATACAATATTTACACGTGGCATCCCCAGGAATTTGTCAACCTTCATTAAAAAAATTTCTTATTTCATAAAAAAGAAAGATAAGAACATTAATTAAGTGTTTTGATAAACATAAATAAATTTGGTAAATAAATAATCCCACTTTGCCGTTTATGGAAGTTTCAAGATCTAATGGAAATTATGTAACATGATTGATTCATGATTTCATTTTCTTAAACATTTAAATAAAATATCTAGGTTATCTATTAAAATAAATTTCCAAATTTATTGTTTCCCATTGTATGTTTGTTATGTAAAAATGCAAATCATTAAATTATAAATTTTTAATTTTTATTTATTTATTTATTTTTATAATTGTGGTAGTAGTAGTAATTACATGAACAATACTTGAAAATCCTTTTTTCTTTTTTTGATTGAAATTTTGACACTTTTCTTTCACGGACTTCTTTTTCTCGCATGCTCATGCAATATATATTCAAATAATCAATGAAATTTAAAGATTATGTCCAAAATCAGTCGATTTTGATTAAATCTTCTTTGGATCCATACTTCTAAAATAATTAAAAATTATTGGAAGGAGAAAAAAAAACAAAACAAACATCTGCATTATGGATGTCAACCCGAAACAGAAAGGCGTAATATCTCCTCATGGGAAATGGACGATCACGTTTCCCTCTTGCCATTGGTGGTGGGAATACGAGACAAAAAAAATAAATAGTATTGTGTCGATTTAATGCTAATAAATGTACGTCTCATTCAATCTGAATGGATGAAAAATGCAAACAATACTGCATAAATTCGATGACGCACTTTTCGCCCTTGATCAATTTCCTGATTGGTCAATTATCTGTAATTCGAATGGACGAAATGAAAAAGAATAAGAATGTTTCGTATTAATGAAGTATTTGACAATATAGTAAAGAACTCATTGTACATTTTCAAGTGCCATTAGCATCTGATATTTATAATATAAAAAAGGTAAATTGGCAAATTAAATATCCTTTTTTATATGCCGACACGGACCAAAGAAATACCGATTTGCATTCCAAATTATACACAATGTCAGAAATCATTTGACAGTTAATGTATCACTACTTGTAATGAGGCGCAGCGTCCGTTATAAATATCCAGAAGCAATTAGAAAAGCAAATACCACTGCATATAGATACGAAATAAAATGCAAGATGGATTAGAATCAAACAATGTGTGATAACAATTTTCATTGTTGTCAAATGACGTTTACTTACTTGGAATTGCTGTGTTTCCTTTGTTTTTTCCCCACTCTAGTAAGCATTATTCTTCATGGGCTGTAACGAGAAGAAAGACATTATGCAGCGGCAACAAAATGTACAACCACAAATACAACAAACATGTGCATCGCCGTAATCCCGTATGAATCCCGCCGCCATACTAGAAAGTTTCCAGCTGCACGATGGAATCTCAATCCACGGGTTGATACAGTGAAATAGTTTATGGGTCGTACATTATCTGTACTTCAGATGAATTCAGAATTTCAACTGTGCAGCTCTCACATTATTAAAAGTTTAACTTTACCACTTTGTTCATTTCTCATTCTTCATTTCTCCCCGCAAAAATAAAAAAAGAAAAAGATATCAGGACGTTTGGGGATTTCCTATAATGTTTAGTGTGGAATGCTTTGATGCCAAAAAATCTGTCAGAAGCATGCACCACTTATTTTGTACCCATTTTCAAGAGGTTCCTTCATCCCTTTTTTTGAATTTACTGAGATAATTTATTTGGTACAAAAAAAAAAATTTTCTAACAATGACATCTAACTTCCTTATTATTATTAAAAAAAAAAAAAAAAAAAAGGATAGGAAAGAAAAAAAGAAAAAAGAATAATCGTAAAAATATGTGCAAGGTGCACATAAAGCATGTAATTTTGCGTAATAAATTTCCCCACTTGAAACCATATTTTTTTTCAGTCCGCGTGGACAAATATCAATATTGATGTAAACAAATATGCTTATATGCTAATTTAATGAATGTATGATAATGCAATCATATCATTTTGTAACATTACCGCAGCCCAGCCCATCACGGTAAACATTTTCTTTACAAACTTCACTCGATCGGTATAAGTGGTATTACGTATCTCAATTCATGTCAATGAACCCTGAAAATCTTGTTTTACGCGGTAAATTTATACAAATCGCTCAAACAATTCACTTTTTCTCTTTTGTTAAATCGCTTCGTCTTGTCAAGTGGGGTGTTCCCCCTTACAGTTTGTAATCCAATCAATTTAAAGTATTACAGCATTGTTGTATATCACCAATTGATGGCAGATCAAATGATTATCTATTACTGTATGTTTCGGGGCTTTTTTATATTGACCAAATCAAGTAAATGTCTTGACTTAATCATTTTTCGAACTTACTGGTTTGGGTTATTACATTGTCTTAAATCGGAGAAAATTCGGGTTATTAATTGAATTTTTTTTTGTCAAGATAATCAACAATTATTTTATAGATTATATTTTAAATGCTACCTACCACATTAGTGAATAAATTACCTGAATTTATTTATATAATAATCTGTTGTTTTCATTCAAAAATAAAAACTTGTTTTGTTAAAATTATTATTCAATGAGAAATGATTATTTTTTTTTTTTTTGTAAAATTAATAAATTACATTATTAAAGTTTGTGTGGAGTGCATATATGTAATTTTACTCAATTTTCGTCGGCTAATTTTTACTTCAACCATAAAATGGAAAAAGATTTATTGTTCAAATCTGAACGATAATTATTATGCAGTAAAAAAATCGAGACCTGCAAGCAGAAGCACCTGTAATTAACAATATGAATGGTAAGAAAGAGAAAAAAAATTCAGATATAAGGATATGTCAATAAATTAATGTAATATCCTGCAAACTATTGCTCATAATGCGATTACGTACTATGGTAAATTTTCTTAATTATAATACTCACAATAAAGACTAATTTAGTTTTATACCTCTTTTATAATCAATCATATGAATTTTTCGCATGTCATTATGCTTAATAAAACGCCAAAGCAGTCACAATCATGAAGTTCGGCGAGATTTGGGGAAATTGAACCCATTTGGGAACAGCGATCGTTTCTGCAAGACGTAAGTTATACTAACGCATGCAATATTTATTAAGAGGAATTAATTTCTAAAAAAAAAAAAATTACTGAATTAATATATTGTATTGTTTGTTAAGTTAAAATATGGAGAAATTTTGCTAGAACATTAAATTTATTGGATTGCAAAAACTTATTAACAAATAAAATTAAAAACTAAAGCTTTACTGTTTATAGCAATCATGAAACATGATTACTTTCTTTATGAAATAATTGGTGTAATTAATCACGATTATGATACTTTTTCGTCGAAATCCAAAATTTTTATTTGATTTAACTATTATTTTCTTCTTGAAAATACGGTACTGGTACAGTTCACCTTCAAAATAATCCACATAATAAGGCATTTTACCAATCATATACGTCAAAAATCCCGAATCTACCAATCAGATTTTCAAATTACGAATTTATAGGCAACTTCGCTATATCGGTT